GGGGGGCTCGGGGCCCTTCCCGAGGCACCGCCGGCATTCCATGGGCAAGGATCCCACAATTCCCCAATCCTGGTGGGGAATGGACCTCCCAGCCCATCCCGAGGGTCCCCGGGAGCCTCCTCTACTCCAGGCTGAGCCCAAATCCCAAATCCCGCTGGAGTGTTCCACCCCAAATCCCAAACCCCTCTGGAGTTTTCCAGCCCAAATCCCAAACCCCTCTGGAGTTTCCCAGCCCAAATCCCAAACCCCTCTGGAGTTTTCCAGCCCAAATCCCAAACCCCTCTGGAGTTTTCCAGCCCCTTCCCAGCTCCATTCCCTTCCCTGGCCACGCTCCATCCCTTCCTTATCCCAAGGATCCAGAACTTCCCCATGGAATGTGCAAAACTCTCTCCTGTTGCTTCTTTCCCACTCTGGATCCCGAGCATTCCTTAATTCCCTCATCAATTCCAGCGTCTTTTCCATGATTTCCTGATGGGACAAACTGGCCATGGATGCAGAATTCCAGCTTTTCCTTTCCCTTTTGTATCCATGGGGTTTCCAGACCTGATCCTGTGGCATTCCTTAAACGTTATAATTCCCGTTCTCCTCTGGGAATCCCATCTGCATCCCATGGGAATGAGGGAATCCTGGAATTCTTGGGATTCCCAGCAGGATTTGTGGGATTTGGAGCAGCAACCTCGAGGAAAGTTGGGAGCATCCAGTGGCTTCTCCTGATTGGAATCCACCCCTGATCCCGGGATGAGGATTTTTCCATTGGTAGCACTGGATCTGGGAATTCCCAAGGACCCAGGAGAATCCATGGTTTCCCAGACCCCATTCCCAAGATATTTTGGGCGCTTTTCCACCTAATCCCAGAATTTTCCATCCAATTCCCATTCCCGCTGCTCAGGAGATCCTTGGGAATCTCCAGGAGCAAACAGTTCCCAAATTTGGCCTCCATTCCCATGGATCCGATCCCAAACCCCGAGGAGATCTCTGTGGGCGCTTCCCGCTGGGATCCCACGGGGAGAGATTCCCGTGGATGTGCTGGCCATTCCATGGATTTCCCGCATTCCCGTGTCCTCCCAGAGTGCCCGCTGACGGCGGCGGCGCAGCTCGAGCTCAGCTCCGAGATGATCAAATCGCTCCGGAACGGCGGAGCCCACCTGGATTTCCGGACCCGCGAGGGAATGACGGCGCTGCACAAAGCCGTGAGGTGTCGGAATCACGCGGCCCTGATGGTCAGTGCCGGGATTTTCCATCTCCCCTTCCCTTCCCTTCCCTTCCCTTCCCTTCCCCTCCCTTCCCTTCCCAGATTTTCCCTCCCCCCATTCCCTCTAGCCCTCTCCCCAAATGATTCCCGCATGGACATGAGGTGATTCCCTCATCCCAGCCCTTCCCAAGGGACCGTTCCCATTCCCAAGGTGCCATTCCCTGTTCCCAAGGGGCCATTCCCATTCCCAAGGGACTCTTCCAATTCCCAAGGGACAGTTCCCCATTCCCAAGGGACCGTTCCCTATTCCCACAGGACTGTCCCCTGTTCCTCACCCTGTCCCAAGGGACTGTTCCCTGATCCAAAGGGACTGTTCCCTGTTCCCATAGGACCATTCCCCATTCCCACAGGACCGTTCCCCATTCCCATGGGACCTTTCCCCATTCCAAGGGGATCATTCCCCATTCCCACGGGACCATTCCCCATTCCCAAGGGATCATTCCCCATTCCCATGGGACCATTCCCCATTCCAAGGGGACCATTCCCCATTCCCAAGGGACCATTCCCATTCCCACGGGACCATTCCCCATTCNAGGGGACCATTCCCCATTCCCAAGGGACCATTCCCATTCCCACGGGACCATTCCCCATTCCCATGGGACCATTCCCCATTCCCATGGGACCGTTCCCCATTCCAAGGGGACCATTCCCCATTCCCAAGGGACCATTCCCATTCCCATGGGACCATTCCCCATTCCCATGGGACCATTCCCCATTCCCACAGGACCGTTCCCCATTCCCATGGGACCTTTCCCCATTCCAAGGGGACCATTCCCCATTCCCACGGGACCATTCCCCATTCCCATGGGACCATTCCCCATTCCCACAGGACCATTCCCAATCCCAAGGGACCTTTCCCCATTCCAAGGGGACCTTTCCCCATTCCAAGGGGACCATTCCCCATTCCCATGGGACCATTCCCATTCCCATGGGACCATTCCCCGCTCCAAAGAGACCATTCCCCATTCCCAAGGGACCATTCCCTGTTCCCACAGGACCATTCCCCACTCCCACGGGACCTTTCCCCATTCCCATGGGACTGTTTCCCGCTCCAAAGGGACCATTCCCATTCCCATGGTACCATTCCCCATTCCAAGGGGACCTTTCCCCATTCCCATGGGACTGTTTCCTGCTCCAAAGGGACCATTCCCATTCCCATGGGACCATTCCCCATTCCAAGGGGACCTTTCCCCATTCCCATGGGACTGTTTCCCGCTCCAAAGGGACCATTCCCATTCCCATGGTACCGTTCCCCATTCCCACGGGAGAGTTCCCCATTCCCATGGGACTGTTTCCTGCTCCAAAGGGACCATTCCCATTCCCACGGGACCATTCCCCATTCCAAGGGGACCC